GAAGAGATTTATAAATTATATTTGATTTATCAAATAACAAAAATAATGCTAATATTTTCTAATAAAAAACAAAACAAAATTCATAATCTCATTAAACTATAGTCATATTTGTATAGATCTAACACTATGTTCAATTAAAAATTAAATTAATCTTAGATTTTATTTTATCTAATAATATTTATTTTAGATATAAAACTATTCTTTTAGTTCAGAAAAAAAATATTTAATCAAGAATACTAATGGCAACTATAAATAATAATAATACATCATTAGAACCAATAGCTGTTATAGGTATAGCATGTGAATTCGCAGGTGATATTCATTGTGCAAATGATTTATGGTATACATTAAAAGAAAGTTAAGATGTTGGTAGCGCAACAACAATTGATCGATTTGATCTTAAATCATTTACTGCTCATATGTTTAATATGGATAATAATGGACAACTTCATCAAAAACTTCTTCGTGCTGGTTATTTTATGTCAAATCAACAATGAGATAAATCTAAACCAAATTTTTTTGGTTTTGTCAGATGCTGAACCAGCCGGTATTGATCCATGTCATCGATTACTTATATTAAAATTTGTTGATTTACTTGATGGTGCTGAACATAGTGTTGGAAAAATGTCAGGTACAAAAACATCAGTGCATACTGGATAATTTTCAACAGATCATGCAATTGCAGCAGCTCGTATGAGACCTGAACATCGAATCAAGATTTTATGGACCTACTAGTTTATTATATCATTTCAATTTCCATGATCCAAATGTATCATCAGATGCTGTTTGTTCATCTTCTTGAGAAACTTTACATATGGCTGTGCAATGTCTCCGTACAAATGAAGCTGATATGGCTGTATGTGGTGGTGTTAATGGATTCTTACACCAGAAAGTTTTCTACAACATTCATTTATTGGTGCACAATCATCTGGCAGAAGAAGTCGATCATTTAGTGTTGATGTTAATGGTTATGCTAAAGGTAAATTCAGTTGATTAGTTTTTTTATTTAGAAATACATTTCAATTTAAATATTGTGTCTAGATGATGGCCTTGATCTTTTATTATTAAAACAATTAAGTGATGCTGAACGTGATGGCGATCCAATTGAAGCTAATTGTTTAGATCGATTCTTTAATCGATCAAATCTTGATCCACCATTATTATTAGATTTACTTAAGAGTAATTTAGGACATACAGAAGGTGCAGCTGGTGTTCTATCACTTATTAAAGTTGCTATGTGTATGTATCATCGTGGTATTACAGCAAATATGCAATTTACTTCACTTAATCCAAAAATAGATGCACAAAAATATAATCTACATGTTGTTCAAAATTTTATACCATTTCCATCTCTTCCAAATAATGGAAAAATAGCTATAGGTGTTAATTCATTCGAAACGGTTGGTTCAACGACACATGCTATTATTGAAGAATATTAACCAATAAATAAAACATCAATTGAAAATGGTCATATCGATGATGGAAATCATATTAAAAGCAAACAAGAATATTTTATTTTTATTTTTTCAAGTAAGTTCTTTTTTCTTTTCATTCATTAAATAATTTATTCCTTCTTATTCAGCAAAAAGCCGTCAAACTCTTAACGATCAATTAATGATATAGATCATAATGATGATCAAGCTTTTCTTCAACGTATATCTCAACAACTTCTAAAAAGAACTAGTAGTTATACGCATTTAGCTTTTTCTTAATTGTCAACAAAATCATTATCAGAGAAAATATGTTTTGTTTTTAGTGGTGAAGGTCCACAATTATATGAAAATGAACTTTTATTTAATAAATGGATTAATTTAATTGATGGAGAAATGACAAAAATTAACAATGGTGAATGGAGATTATTAGAAGAGTTAATTGAAAAGAAAAATGAACAAGAATCTCGTATTAATGAGACAAATATTGCTCAACCAACATTATTTGCTATACAAGTTACATTAGCAGCTTTATTTGTTTCATGGAATATTTATCCATCATCAATTATATCGCATAGTGCTGGTGATCAAGCAGCTGCTTTTGTTGCTGGTCGTCTAAGTTTAGAAGAAACTGTTCGTATGTTAGCTGTTTCAATGAGTGAAGAAGAAGTAGAAAATAAACTTCTTAAAGATATTGAACATTTGGCTTGTATTACTATTGTTAATAGTCCTCGCTCAGTAACAATAAGTGGTGATGAAAAAACTATTGATGAAATACAACAAATTCTTTCCATATCTTATCCAAATGTATTTAAAGCATGTGTTCGTATTGAAAATGCATTTCATCGTATCAAATAAATCAATTTCATACTGAAAAAGATATGTTATTATCATTAAAAAAAATATTCGTGAATATTCAATACAAGATTAAAAACAAATATTTAATTCTATATGTGCACAAGTAAAACTTTATTCAAGTATTACTGATGATAAAATGAATGATAATATACCAGTTGATAGTCAAATGTAAGACAAACTGTTCGATTATATGATACTATAACATTAATTATAAAAGATGAAGCAGCAAATATTTTTCTTGAAATTTCACCACATCCAGTTTTAGCAAAATCAATTCGTGAATGTTATGAATTAACAAATCAACAACAATCATCACCACTTATTCTTCTAACATTGAAACGAAAAGAAGACGAACAAATAACATTACTTACTAGTTTAGCACAACTTACAACATCATCTCATGTATGGCAACAATATTATAATACTCGTCAAATTTTATCTATGAAAGAATATGAAGAATATTTTGATAATTTTCCATTATATAAATTTCATTTGAATCCATGTTGGTATGAATCAAAAGATTCATCTATACAACGTCTAGCTAACCGTATATCTACTCATCCATCACTTGGCATTCGTCAGTTAAATGAACAAACAAGTGCAACATGGAAAAGTCTTATTAATACTAATTTAGCACAATATGCTTTTTTTAAAAGATCATAAAATTCAAGATGCAAATCTTTTCCCGGCTGTTGCTTATCTTGAACTTGCAACAACTGCTTGTCATCAATTACTTTCATCAAAAGAAGATGATCAAGAACAACGACCAACAATTATTTTTGAAAACGTTAAATTTGTTAAAGCACTTAATTTGAATGAAACATGAATTACTTGAAGTATGTATACAAATAATTATGCCAATGCGTCAATGGGATATTATATTTTGTAATCAAGATAATCTTAATAAATATTCATTAAATCAATTTACTTTACATGCACAAGGTAAAATTGAAATTGATTATAAACAACAAAAATCATTAACAATACCTAATACATGGACAACACAACATATACCAAGTGCTTATGAACATCTTTCAACAAGAGGTTATCAATATGGATCTAGTTTTCAAAAAAATCAAAACATTACATGGTACTTCAACTACAATTATATCTCAATTATCAAATGATAATAATATCTTATTATTTACTTCATCCATATCTAGTTCTATTATCAGATATTGAAACAACATTTCTTCCTGTCCGTATTCAAAAATTTATTTATTCAAGTAAAACAAAAACAGAAATGAATCAATCAACACATATTGAAGTACGTGGAAATTATCATGATAATATATGTGGTATAGGTCAAGAAGAAATATATAGTCTTGATTTATTGACATTTCCAATGGATAATAAAATAGAAGAACCAATATTTACATTTGAAAGTATTGTTATTCAACAAGTTCAAGGTGTACAATCTGGTCGATGGTCAATGGAAAAAACAATTTATGATAAATTAAATCTAACAACTGACTTACCTAATACTGATCATAAACCATATCTAGATACAATTATAAAAGATTATTGTATGAAAAGAGTATGAACTGATTCACCAATAACAAAAGATATATCACATTCACTTCCATCACCTAATCAAATCCTTAATAATGAACTTAGTTCTTTTAATAATCAAGATTTAATTGAATCAATAGAATCATTTAATGAATTATCTGCGTATTATGCTCAAATGGCAATTAAAGATCTTGATTTAAATCAATAACATCATCCATTATTAAATGCATGTCATTCTCTTGCTTCAACTTTACATTCAGAACAAGTAACATGGCATTCAACACATCTTCGTCTTATTCAATTAATTGAACGTTTTCCTCATTTAAAACCATTTTTAATAATATTAAACAAATATGGTTCACATTTAAAAGATATTCTTAGTGGAGAAAAAAATGGATTAGATATATTTGTTGGTGATGAGGAAATTGGAGAAATTTTTCAACAAGTTAAATTTCTTCTAAGTGCAACTAAAACACAACAAATTTCTCATACTATTTGTCAACATTTACAATTACAATATGAACGACAAACGAAAGATGATAATTCATTTGAAAATTATCGATTACGTATATTCTGGTTAACTGATAGTGATTGTTCAGATGTTTTATCTATTCTTGATCTTCTTCTTAATTTATCACAACAAACAGGTTTATTGATTGATGTACATTATGCAGATTCTGATCCAACACAACTTGCAAATACTTAACAAACATTTAATACACATCTAACTAATCAAACAAAAAAGTTATCTATTATTTATGATGAAACAATTGATTTATATGATAGTAAAACACTTGAAAAAATCCCATTCGAATCATTTGATATTATATTTTCTGCAAATCAACTTCAAGGAAATTAAGATTTAACAAATTCTTTAATTGATCTTCGTCGTTTACTTGTTCCTAATGGACTTCTTTTATTACTTGAATTAGTTCATATTCCACTTTATTTTGATCTTATTTTTTGTTTTAATGATGAATGGTGGTCATCATCTGATGATAATAATCGTGCATTAAAGAATATTCAACAATGGACAACATTAGTAGAACAAATCGAAGGATCTAATATTATTGAATCAACAATAAATCAAAATGAAAGTACACTAATTATTAGTCAAAAAACAACATCGAATGAAATATTACAAAGACTTGATGAACGAATAAATCAAACATGGTTAATATTCACTAAAGATGATAATAATAGTTTTGGTCATATTCTATCATCATTGTTACTATGTTCAAATATTGAAATGTTTGATATTCGTCATTCAACTTTAGATCCTATTTGTTCTGTAATACCAGTTCTATTAACTACTTATAAACAAGTATCTATTATTTTTGCATGGCAACTTGATCAAGTAGCACTTAATGAAAATAATGATGAGTTAGCATTTAAACAAAATGAAGAACTTATATCTGGAACATTAGCACGAATTCTTCAAACAATTCAAAAACCATCACCACATTTTTATCCATTTGTATATGTTCTTACAGATCATGCTCAATTTAATAATGATTCGAATCTTAGTATAATTCCATCACCATTTATTGATCTTGCACGAAGTTTAATAAGTGAATATGAACGACATCGATTACAACTTATTGATCTTTAAACATCATTAAATAATAAATTAATATTTATTCATACATTAATAGAATATATGATTAAGACAAGATATTCAACTGATACTTGTGAAGTTGTTCTTCGTCTTAATCATACAAATCAAAATGAAGTTCAACATTTAACATGACATTATGAAATGTTACAAAATAATGATGAACAAAAGAAATCTAAATTAGAACAAATTTCTATTATTTCTAAACGAGATGCAGATCAAAAACCATTTCGTCTTTGTGTACCACGATCTTGTTTTCTTTCTGAATTAACATGGATTGAAGAAGATAGTGAAGAAGAATTATTACCATCAGACATGGTAGACTGATTTCGCTGGATTTTGTTGATGATATATCATCTCTTATTCATATTATACTTGAAGAAACATTTGATTTATTTGTTCAACATAAATTACATGCTGTTGAACCAACAGTTACTTATGAACCATCTCAAGTAATACAAGCATGATTAAGATGTAATAGTGGTCAAGTTATGGGTACAACAGCTATTCGTATAACTTCATCTGATCAACCACCGAATATCAACAAAAACCAATCGAATAATTTATTAAAAGGTAATCAGATTTCATATTTTCTTTTCTTTCCCTTTTTTTCTTTTCTTTCCTTTTTTTTTCTTTTCTTTTCTTTTCGTTCTGTTTCGGTCGCATCGAAATATTTATTCATACTCGAAAGAAAGGAAAAAAAAAGATATCCGTTGATATTTTTCACTTTTTCTCATAATTTTGCGGGTGGGTGTGGATGTATGTCTCTTCTTCTTTTTCATTCATATCCACACCCACCATCGATCCTAATAACGCTGATCGATACTTCTTTGTGTTATAGTCATATGTGATCAACTAGTATAGAAAAGAGATAAACTAAAAGAATATAGATATAAACTAGAAATAAAAACACTTCGTTAATCTTACTACTAGATCTAAACTTAAATTCAAACCTAAACTGCAAACTCGCTTTGGTTTGAATTTGAGTTTAGTGCATGTCTATCCAGAGCTACACCTTCACCTACTCTTTTATCTGAATCCATTGTGCAGTAATAGGATATATGTATCATCTATGTGTGTTTGTTATTCTCTTCTTAATTTTTGTCTTCTCTTTTAATAATTTCGATAAGAATAATTCAGGAAAAAAATTTAACAAATATTCGTTTAACTAAATGTTTGAAATAATGATCGTCGTTATTTAAACATAGAATTGTATTCGTTCAATTGATTTATCGAAATATTTTCTATATTTCTCTTGTTTATTTAAGAAAATAGATGAAATTGAATATAAGGTTCATCTAATGATTGATTACATCAATGAAAATATTTGATCTATCAATATCATCATGAACTTTAATGTCACAAACTCGATATGAGGATTTTTAGTGTTTGATTTAATTCATAAGAGATAGTGAACAATTGTTGATATGATATTGACAGTTAATCGTCTTGAGAATGAGTATATATTGTCTTTACTGTCTATTTGACATTTATATTAAAAGAAAACTGTTATTTTCTAACGAATTTTTCAATATGAAACTAAATAGAACGAGCATAAATCAATGATAAAAATGATCAATATATTTGACATAAGTTCGAAGAATATTTTCAAATAGAAGAAAAGCAAAATAAAAATATTAAATCTTAGACGAAAATTTTTTTCGATTGTTCTTCTTCGATATTTCTATTTAAACACAATTCCTATTGATAACCATACTGAAAATATGAAAATAGTTATTAGTTGTTTTTATGTAGTTATTTCTGAATAGATTTATCAAGGATAAGAAAAATGATGACTAACAAAGAACGTATAAGAAAAAACAACCATTTCGTCATAAATATTGTGTTTTGGATGACGAAGAAAAGTATGAGAGATACAATTAGCTATTGTCGAGGAAATAAAGAATATGAAAATGAATAATGCACAAAATAAATATACATGTAGCAGATGTTGAATATTTCTCTATAGTTTTTAGATAAGATTTTCATTCAAAAGAATCTATTTATATTATTTTCTTTTAACATAAAATAATACCTTTCAAATTTTGTACATAGATCAAAGAAAATAATTTTATTGCGAAAGTTAAGTGAGTTGAATAATTATTTTACAATAAAAAAACATTTTTATGTAACAATTCCTAGTTAAAAACCTCTACCTAAATCTATATATGGATGAATTACAATATTCTTAATTTGTTTTATGAAAAACTTTTCATCTCATTGTTAATATCATTGTACAATATTGTATTAAAGAAAATATGTTTCATTTTTTCTGATTACTATTATCAGGTTATCGAACGTACGAGATATTTTTTTAAGAATCCAAATAAAAAAAAATTGAGATTAAATCATGTTAATTAGTGCACAATACATTTAATGTGAAATTTTTTCGGATACTTTTTGTCTTAATCTTTATTCTTGTCTGTATAATAAGAACTTTTCTTGCCAATTACAACTGATCTTGGTTGTAAGAAAGCTATTCCATGTACTCAAAATCAATAATTAATCGCTAATGATTTTCTTCCTCATTTTTAACGATAAATTATGAAATTATTTATACGTGAACTTTAGTTTTACTGTTAAATTTAGAAGATCTTATTACTGATTTAATTAGTGGATCAATGTTTTTATTATAAAATTGAACGTTCACATTGATTTGTACATAGAAGTTATGTAACTAAATAAATAAATAAGAACTGTACATGTAATTTGATATAATGAGAAAAAAAGATTAGAAAATTCTCTAAAATCGATGATTTGTATTTATTTATTTCTAAAAGGCTTCTATGCTTATTTATCATCGCTTATTAATTAAAAATCTCGAAAAAAGAATGAAAAAAACATAAATGAGAAGTAGAGTTATAGATTAATACAGAATCATCTAAAATAAACTACACCTTATCGTAAAGAAACGTTTTGAAATGAATGATTGTGATGACGACGCTTATAGTACGATCATTTTGAAATTATCTAATATCATTCATGTCATAGTAGTCATATTCATGACAAAACTAATTTTCTTTTTTGTTTTAAATATCTGTAATTATATCTCACTATTTAATTTATAAATTTTTAAATAATTAGTTTGTAGTTCATAATTGATTACTAAAATCGATGATTAAACATGATTTTCATGGCATAGGATGTGACTATGAAACTCGTTGGAGATTTTTATAGGATTTATTTTATAATGGTGATAATATGAGCAATAGTTGAATAGAATGAATAATGTTTCAGTTCAATCTGTAATATCTTAAGAGAATAATAAATTTAAAAAAATCTTGTATAATATTTCGTGTAACACTAATAGTTTTTTTATTTATTTTATTTAAGTGAAAACTCGAATAACTTTTTCATTGTCTTTTATGACTTGTATCATTATATGTCGAAGTTATTTTTTATGTGACAGAATAGGAACTGAAGGATTGGCTGTAGATATAATCTATCAAGAAACAATTAATTAGAAATATTTTCTTCGAGTATATATTAAAGATAAATAATCATCTTTTACCTTTGATTTCTATACAATATGAAAAAGTCGACATATGTGCTCAGATAAAATCAATATTGATTTTATTTCGAAAGAAAAAAAGATTCTAAAAATGAATCGCTCGAAATGAAAAAGACGGATTTGATACTAAAATAGATCCTTTCAAATATATCATATTTACATTTATCTTTACTCACACTTGTTTTTTTATTATAAAACTTAGATAAACAAGCGTTTAGAATAAAGATATGAAATAAATAAGCATCATTAACTCCTTTTATTTTGATAATAGCTTAACAATTCTTAGAATATAAGGCTAAGATTTCTTTGCTGTACCATTTATTAAATTAGTTTCATGTCAAAAAATAACTCAAACTTATCATTTTATCGTTCTCGAAGTTAAAAAATCTTTAACTATGTTATACAATTGCTGATTATTTATAATAGATCGCTGAATTTCAGATGATTCTGATGATAACAAAAATTATGTCGATGGAGAAATCATCGGGAATCGAAATAGTTAAAAAATGTAAGAGAATTAATTCTATATTGAAAAATAAATGAACAAAGATTTTGATTGTATTTCAAAATTGACTTGATTTTTCTTCCATAAATAAAATCGATAAAAAAAGAATTATTTTTCTCTTTTCTGTTCATGGCTTATCTATCCGTCATGACTCATTGGTTTTCTTAACCACATGTCATTTTTAGTAAGAGCAATCAACGATAATATTAAAATATAAACGTAAAGAAGAGCGACCTTATAGATAGTTGTTTGACAGAACAAGAAAAAACGATAATTGTAAGCGTTAGAAATATTTTTTTCTCGTTACGAACAAAATAACAAAACGCAACCACGTGGAAAAAAACGTCTCTTAGATTATTTTGAAATATTGACATAAAATGACTTTTACGTATCAAATCGTGTTCTAATCTTATCTTAAGATTTCGATTAACAACTGTCAAGAATAAAATATTCAGATATTCGAATAGCTAAAAAGAAAACGTTTCATTTCAAATTGATATTAATAGAAAATAAGATAAAGAAGAATTTGATTATTTTAATTTTATCTTATTTCTTAAATAACTAATTAAGGATTGCGAGAGAATCAAATTCTTTTTATTTAACATTTTACTTTATATTTGCAGATTGCTAGAATAAAATACTTTAATTATTCTCATTTAAAAAATGTAAATATTCAATTTTAAGATGATCGAACTGGAAAACATTTTCTATATGTTATTAAGCTATTAGTATAAATGAGTTTAAATTCGACTTCCTAATCACTTATTTTATTAAGAATTTCTCTGATTAAAAGAAAATCTTGAGTTTTATTCACGTAGGTGAAGTCAGCACGATATTCGACTAAAACCTGCCAAGGTTCGTTTGAGAAGGTGGTCCAAGTAGAACTCGACGAGCTCTATCGATTGGCCACTTTGAAATTTCCAGAATCCCAAACCATGTCTGAGTAAATCGCGAAATAGTGAGTTTTTACTAGGGTAGTGACAACAACTACTTCGTAAAACCTGCCAAGGTTCATTTGAGAGGGTGTTCCAACTATTCCAAAAAGTGTTCCAAGTAGAACTCGACAAGCTCTATCGATTGGTCACTTTGGAATTTTCAATATCCCAAACCATGTCTCTGGAAATCGCGAAATAGTAGGTTTTACTAGTGTAGTTACAGAAACTACATAGTAAAACCTGCCAAGGTTCATTTGAAAGGGTGTTCCAACTATACTAAATAGTGTGTCAGGTAGAACTCGACAAGCTCTACCGATTGGCCACTTTGGAATTTCCAATATGTGAAACTATGTCTCTGGAAATTCAGAAATAACAGATCTTCTTACTATAGTTACAGCAACTACATAGTAAAACCTTCCCATATTCATTTGAGAAGGTGTTCCAACTATTTCAAGAAGTGTTTCAAATAGAACTCGACAAGCTGTATCGATTGGCCACTTTGAAATTTTCAATACCTGAAACTATGTCTCACCAAATCGAGAAATACCGGGTCTTCTTACTATAGTTACAGTAACTAGTCAGGAAAGCCTGGCCATATTCGTTTAGGAAAGTTTTTCAACTATTCAAACTGCAGATTCCAGTGTAATTTGAGGAGCTCTATCCAATGGTATCGTTGGATGTTAGATAGCAGAAAGTATATAATCATGAACACCAAAATATATGTATTGTAGGGTAGGAGTCAAAAACGCACTGTAGTAAAACTTGTTCAAATTCGCTCAGGAAAAGTTTTAACGATTCGTAACTCAGTTCCTAATGCAATACATTAAGCTGTATCTAGTTGTATGTTCAGTGTATAGAATGCAAAATAAATTAAATTGTTTTCTTCGTTCGAAATAACTAACCTTGAAATCAAATGTTCTATCAGTTGAGAATAAAAGTTCGGCTTTTTTCTTGGTATGTGACTCGGTTGATCGTGTTGACTACGTTACTGATAATGAACGACAGAGAAGAGACTGAGTCGATAAAAGAAATATCCGAATTTGTAGCATTAACTCATTGAAATAATGCAACTTGTTTAAATTGATTTTGTAGCAGAAAAATCGACGATTTAGGTCTGAAGAATATTATTTTTAAAATTTGACTCTGTAAAATACTCTAGACGAACAATTTTTTTCTAGAATTAGAATTAGGCTTGTTTTATTCTTTCTAATGTTAGAACATTTTACATTAAATTAACTCTATCTTTTCTTAATTGAACGTATAAAATTAATTGTCGCTTCTTTTTTAATAATTTTTTAATTTCATCAATTAAAGATGTACATAAAATATGATTGTTTAAATTATTTAACAAGTAACGCTCATCCGATGGATTCGCTGACCCTTTTCTGAAAGAAGATTTCCTATGATTATCATTAAAAATGATTTTCATTTTGAATACATATTAACAAAAGAAACCTGGACAGGCTCTCATCATAAAATCTTAATCGACCATAGTTCATGTTTAATTAGAGGAATAAACGATCAGTCGCAGCCGTATATCTCATTTTTTGAAAAACTGACTTGATTCAAAGAGTTTAAGGATTTGTGACGTTGTATATTCGAGAATTCTTACACTTTTAAAGTTATCTTAGCAAAGCAACCTTACTATTCCCGAACAATCAGGAAAATTGATGTTATGAAAAAAATTGATTCTCTGTCCAAAGTGTATTCAGCAAGTTTAATAGAATAACTAAACTGCTATATGTTTCGGCTCACCCCGAACCACGACTATACGAAAAAAACTAATTCATTTAAAATGAGACAATCCCGAACAGCTCTTAAAACCTTTTAGGGTCGTACAACTGCATATCTATTCCTGCTCGCGCCACAACAAGCAAATAATGCCATGTTTGCATTCACAAGTCCTTTACTGAATAGGTGTTGTTAGGTCAAATGTGTAATTAAGATTTCTTTTTAGCTCAAGAACCGAATCACTTAACAGTTTCGCAAAAAAACACAAATCTCACTTACTACACTTAGGACAAACCATTTAAATCAACGCCTAGTCGTTCGTCGGCCTCCCTTCGGTCGGCCACTCACGGCTAGCCGTTACCAAATTATGCTACATTTTTCTATCTATCATCTGTTACATTAAGATTTTTCACGTGCATCAAAACTATTTCACTCATAACATATCGATTCGCAATCGAAAACTTCCAACTTTTAGATAGCACTACGTATTGTTCATCATGGTTTCCAATTTCTTTTTATTCTGACACAACGATATGCTGCCGGATTCTTTCTCACATTAGTACTCATTAAGTGCTCTCAAAAAACCATTTGAACTAACTAAGACTCATTTCAAAGCTGTGCTTTAAAACAACCTTTAAAACTAACGTCTACCTATTCGTCGGCCTCCCTTCGGTCGGCCACTCACCGCTAGCCGTTTCCATGTTTAACCCTACTATTTCCTCCACTATTAGTTTAGCTTTGAAGTGAAGAGGTGCATTTCGTCTGAATTTTTCTTAGAAGGATATTGAGTATTTGATACTATGATTCTTCAGAAGAAACTAAGAAAAGGAAAACTATGTTGAAAACTGTTACGAATACAGTATATTACATTGTCCCATAGGAAAGATCTTGATTTGTTATGAATTTTATTGCACAGTTGTTATTAACGACAACTCAACTGCAGAATTTTCAACAGCTATTACCTTTTTTAAAACTATTTATTTAAATTTTACCAAAAAATCCGATTATAGCTATCAAAGAGGAACCGGCTGGGTGAGGGTATTCTCATCCCGATAGCGATCTCGCTTTCTAAAATCGGTGCTCGTTCTGGTCCCGTTTAAATCGGATTTTTTTCAATCTGCCAGAAATAGTTTTTAAACACATGTCGAACAAGCGAATACTCACACCCACCGTATCCAATCAACTTTTTTCGTAAATACATATCCTTTGTGTAAAAAAATGAGGGATAAGAAAATCTTAAAAAACTAACCTCGAATTCGAAATCCCTGCATCAAAATATCTCTAAAAATATATTTTTCGAAAAATCAATATTGGATGTTTTCTTAACCTTTCACCCACCCCCTTCATCATAGTCACCCAACGGACTTCGGATTCGA